GGTCCAGAGTTTTGCAAATATCTCAGCAACGTTGTGGTTGTATTTCGCTTAGTAAGCTGCCATGAAAATTATAGAAGACAGAAAACAAGACGTTAAACATTACGTTTATTACGTTTACACTGTGAGGATCGGAGAGAGCTTCGTTCTGTAAAGTCCTATCTCATTGTTCTCGTCACGTGATCTTAATCTTTTTGAGGGGTGGCTTAACGTCGAATATAAATTCGGGGAGTTGTCTGTTCACCAAAATATGCTTAGCTGACAGCGCTGATGATAGCTTCATGCAGTTTAATGCATTCGTGAAGAGTTACACAAAGTTGTTTAGATCTGGGTGAAAAAGTTCTCGGCGTTAATCAATCCCTGAGGGATGCGCGATGCATTCGATTTGGTTTAGCATCGTTGAAAGTGATTGAACGAATATCTGGCCCATGCAATGATCCGTGGAACTCTGCTGATGCAGCGAGCCAGTACTGCTATCCTCCCCAGACAAGTCTGGTACCAACTTGCCGAGTCCAGAGGGATGGAAGGCTTGGTGAGCCTGGGCGCTAGGATCGATCCCGTGTGTATTGCAGAGCACGTCAGACCACTGCGCTACACGTGCCCATTTTTTCGGATAACTTGTTTTATTGGAATTCTAAGGCGTTGCATTCTGGTTGTTCGGAAATCAACGGAGAATTCGTAGTCCTATTTTTCTCTTTTTGCTTTCAGCAATACTTTCTTTCCTCACCCTGTGCTATTACATATCAATGCAAAGCTCATCTTATGCACTTTGGCTCTGTAAAGTTGAATCGTGATTGAATTTATTTGATATTTCAAAACCGACTTTTCTTTAACCTCGGTATGACTAATCAATATGTATTGTCACTTCAACTCTATTATTGTTTCACAAGTTTCCAAAAAAAAAAGTAGGAAGTGAAGTGTCGAAACACGGATTTCGATAGATTTACGTCTCCGAGTTCCAACTCGAACTTGGTGGATTCCAGATGGTTTGAAACATCAGTCAGACTTGGGCTCAAGGGACATGAACGAATGTGCATTGCGACGTTGGTTCCAAAAATTTTGTCATGGTGAATTCGACCTTGAAGATGTGGGAGGATGTTTTGTTGTTGACGATGATAAATTGAAGACTTCAGTGGAAGCAGAAGATGTGCAGATTCCAATGGCTTTTATCCCGGTTGGTTAATAAAGCTCTTAACTGAAACAATTCTAACATTTGATTTCTCTGTACGAGGTATCTTTTCTTTATACCATCCCTCTTCATGTCTTCTGTGTGGAATCCAGCACTTCTCGCATTCGATTCGTTTTCTCGCATCCATCCTCCACGAAGAGCTCCCAACATTTACGCAGCTTCGGCGGCTTCGGCTACTGCTTGAGGATTCTCCATTCATCTGGAATGACGTAGAATGCTGATCGAATCGATTAATTCTGGAGTCCTGAGATAGCCTTGAGCGGTCCCACTTGAATTGCAGAGAGTGATTTTTTTTTTCCAGACAAGACGAGAGGCTCGGTGAGCCGGGAGCGGAATCTAACAACCACCGTGCTCGGAATGGTTAGCATCATTGCTGCTGCATTGAGATGTCTATATTCTAGCAAAGAAAAATTACCAATTGGTAATCGTATAGGTGCTTTTATCAAATACTGTATAGTCGACATAGGTCAGACATGGAAAAAAAACGGTTGTTGTTATCAACTCGAAGCCGCGAATGAAATCAGAGTTTTGTTCAGTATTCTTAGTATCAAAATCAATCGAACAGTATTGCCTTAGTGAAGTACTGCATCTACTGTGCTTCGGTAGTGCTCGTTTTACGATATTTAGAAAACAGGCTGTTTTTCCCTTAACTAGTTGGACTCAGGACTCCTCTAGAAGAGGTTCTGTTGTGTGCCATTGGATCTTTGTTGGTGGTATATCTTCATTTATACACCATTGAGAATCTTACTGATGTGCACCGCCTACTTTCGTAGAAACACCTAAGGAGAGTGACTGGTGCTGAGATCAAATATAAGGCACATGAAGCAAGTACCAATCGAAACCGTCCTGATGGCCCAAGCACCTGAAGAAGAAGAGACTTTTTACCCTGTCATCAATTAAAACTGTCACTAAACCATCTCTGTACAGTTCTGCTACTGATCCTTACTTTATCTCAATCGAGAACGGAGTCCGGACCATTTCATTAGCTCCATAAACTTTGTGGTACAACCGTCTATAGGGAAAGTAATGCCAAACAGCATGAGTGAATCGCCTTTCACGCTGGACAAATCAGATGTGCATTTTGTCAAAACAAAGTGTATGCATCGTTTTCTTGTTCAGCAATCGCAAGGCTGTTACACAGCATACATTTACCACCATAGAAAAACACACAACACAGTACAATAGTAACTGATGTTTCGGCAGTATGGCCTTCTTCAGAGTCTGGAAGGGTATACTGTTATACAATCTACCAGGCCAAACGCTTCAATAACACTCACAAAGAGACGAAAAACTATGGTAATTACATTATCAACAGCTTCTCGAAAAACTCACCGCTTTTTTCGTGACTTCCAATGAGGAAGATTAGAACAGCTGATTATAGTCGCATATGGTTGATGACTGCACCATCCACATCAGAGATGCGAACATACGGGGTCAGGTAGCGTATGACCTCCGGGCACACATTCCTGCTATTCATTGTAGGGTTTTTGGCATTTATCCAAAAAGCCTCAAGAAGTTTGCGCGTTGGTGTTTTAGTCTCCTGTGCGAGTATAGTGACTTTTACATCAAAATCGTCTCCGGTTTGTTTTTGTATCCTATGCGTGCCTAGTAGGACACTTTATCTTGCTTTTCGTTTACCATCTAGATGTTCTTTTATGCGGATACATAAAGGTCTGTCCGTTTCTCCAATATATTCATCTCCGCAATTGTTACAAGAGATCAGGTATATCGTACCTGAACTCATGCCATCGCCGTCCCTGCCGTAAGGGCAAATCACGCAATTTGTTGTTTCACATAGACGGTCATACAAGCGATTACGAACCAACCGACGACGTAGAGTAGCCGCTGGTATTTCAACTATCGCTACCGATTCCTCTAGACCTGCCTTTTTAAGCACCGTTTTATAGCTACGCTTACTTCATCGCTACTAAAGGGCAACATAAACGGGACTTTCTTGTGGCTAACTGTTTCGCTTTGGCGAGTCGCTCTCCTTCTAAACCTACCTCGTGCGGTAACTATTTCGTAGCCATTGGAGATGGCTATTGGCCGAGCCAAGTTGCGCGACTCTTCCTTTAGTTCCCTGGTAGTGTACATAGAGGTGGCTGTTCGAAACATGTTTCTCACAGGTTATGTGTTAACCACTTGTGATAATTTGGAATTTTCTG